ACAGGGACACCGCTCCTGAATGTGGGGAAGACGGACATCTCGGCCGGAGAGCAAGCCCCAGCGGCCCGGGTCCCCTTGGGGATACCGGCGGAGTTCGAGTGTGAGGGGCAAAATAGTCACACCGACTGTACCGCTGTACTGCTGGTAAACCGGGTTCAGCCTAGAGAAAATCAATGCCGAAGGGCCAGTATTAGCACCCATCAGAATACGGGCCGGTAGAATGACCTTCAGATACCTAAATTAAATCAAGTAAAATTAGGCATGACAGCAGGAATGCAGAACATTTGTTGGCAAACGCCAATCGTGTTTTGCTTTTAATCGTCTTGCCAATTTAGGACGCCTTAGTAATGGGTAAGAGTCCTTTAAAGAGAAGCGAGTAAACACTGAATCTTTATTACAAAGCAATCCCATAAATCGTCACCAGTGACTTCGCAAGATGTTTCTTAAAAACGTGCGATATTCTTCTTGAACTCCTTTCATGTTAGATTCTGCAGTGAGAGCACGACGCGTGAGGCCCCTGTATCAGTACATTCACCACGGCCTGCCTGCGCTGGCGTCTGTTCCCGCAGAGCCCGCGTCACGCCGGGGCTCAGCGCAGCCTCCCGCATCGCTGTCGCCATCCGGAGAGCCCGCAGCGACCAGAGCTTCAGGTAGATCCCATCAAGAGTTCCCAAACCATGGCTGCGGGTTTGTAATTCCAGCACAGCTTTTAACGATACAATTGAACTGGAACAGATATTTCCTCGTTTTGCAGCTCCTAATGAAGAGACCTACGCATCCAACGGGAAGGCAGCTTTTCAAAACCAGGACAGGGGATCCCCGGAGTTGGGAAATCCAAACCGAGTGTCTTTTAATTTTGAAGTTCAGCTTCTCAATATGCACAGACTTTAAATAGATACATGCAGAGCGAACTACAGTTGGTGGTCCTATAAAGCAAGTCAAGGTGCTCTGAAATGCCTGTCTAACGGTGCGGTATTTTTTTTTCTTCCCGAGGTGAAGACTGCATGTCCCCTGGCACAGCGGGAGGTTCTTGTGGACAGGTTATAGCACCGCTGGAGCTGGACTGTTCACCCCAAGACAGGATGGACCGAATTCTCCACCTCTGCCCCACAGACCTGCTCCCCCCACTCTCTCCACAGTAGCAGCAGACGTGAGGGTCTTTGACCAGCCTTTGCTGAAGAAGCCCCGGCACGTTCTGCATACAGGATTCTCTATCAGACGCTTTTAATTCAGTTTTAAGTTCTCCGATTTTTGCATCTTGCTTTATTTTCTCTGCCTGCAGGAGAATGTGGAGCAGATAGAAACAGATCAATAATAAGGAAGCAGTGAGCTAATACAATTAACACTCCTGTTGAGTTTGTGGAAAGCAGTGGAGAAGTGGTCACCATTAGTCAGCAGATAGGTCTGTGAAAGCTGCTGTCTCCTGTCTTTGGCATTTTGTCTTCCCCCAGCAGAACACAGGAGCTTTCACGGTGAAATAAAATCTGAAACAATGACCAGGAGGCTACAAGATATTTATTTCCTTTCAGAGTTACATTCAAACAGTATGGATTATAAAAACAAAAAACACCCCCACGTCTCAAGATGCCCGTCTTACAGTAATATCACCAAAATAAAACATTTACCAAAAATGATATCAAAGGAACACAATAAATATTCACCTACAAACTATGTACAACGTATTAAAAACATTTCCTTAGGCTCACATCAAAGCTCTCAAGTAGTTTAGAGTAGCCAAGAATACTTGTCAACGTTAAAAAAGCAACAGTGTTTCGCACTACCACCAGTAAAGAGAGGAACACTACAGCTGTGCTCATTTCATACCTTCGTAGGTAGAAGATGGCCTGATTCTTGGTTACTGTAACAGGGGAAAAGAACACCAGCTGCTATCGATTCCTCAAATGAACAAATTCAAGCCCGAAGAGCCCCTAACCCTGACTTCTGTTTGTCTGGATGGTTTTCATACAGACTGAATGAAACCCAGAACTGTTGAACGTCACCTGGTACTGGGCTACAACACCCAAGAGAATCCCACTGGGCCTAGGAGCATGGTTCCTCTTTAGATACAACTGTTCCTGAGGTTCATAGTCCAGTTACAGTCCTCTTTCTTTGTATCTTTCAGTTACAAAAGCTCATTTCTGAAGCACATGGGATTTCTCATTCTTCTCACAGAGTGAAGGCAGTACATTGTATATGTAGTCTGGAAACATAAACTGCTAATTATGTCCCCAAACATATATATATACACACACACATCTACAGATATGTCCAGTGTCATTTGCAGGTTGAAAATCTCAAAAGGACAGGTTCAGTCTAACATCATCTTAGACGAAACAGAGAGGGTATCGCAAATGGAGAACATCTGGCAGAGACAGAACGGGCTGCCCAGTTACGCCAACTGCAACTCCCAGACCCCCCTACACCTAAGCAGCAGACACGTTTCGGGTAGGATCAAGAAAACATCCGCAGGGCATTCAGGACTGCTGCAGGTTCAGTCTTCCACCTGCTGAGCCGAGCCGAGCGCTAAGTGGAAGATTCCCAGTGGCAGACAGTCCGACCCACTGGGATGACTAAAGCAAAGGGGACGCGCGAAGGAAGAGATGTAGCGCCTCACTAACAGAACACACCCATTTTGTTTTACTTTCCGTTCTGTGTCAGTCATGTGTGATTGTACCCCTCTGATACGCACTCTTCAGGGGTCATCTTGCCAACGACAGTGCCACACATTACAGAACAGTGACACGAGGCTGGGGAACTCAGTGCCCCAGAATAGGGGTTTTCAATCCCGGCCTGGAGGCCCACAGAACTGCTGGTTTTCATTCCAGCCCCACTCAATTACTTAATTGAAGCCTTAACTGGACTAACAGGTTGCTTGAATACCTGCAAGTTTTCTTCTTCTAATCAAAAGTTGGGAATCGTACGTTACATATGAAACACAACAGTTAAAAGGCGACCCAAAGTGTTGAAGAGCTGAAAGTTAATCCTATTATTAAGTCAAGTAGTTCAATTGTGTAAAAGAGCTTGGCTTGATTAAAATCCAGCAGGGGTGTGGGCCTCCAGGCCCACGATGGGGATTCCCTGCATGACCACACATCTGTGCTTCACTGATCAGGCTGCAGTCAGTCAGGCTTGGCTTCTGTGCCCGACTGCACTGCACACTCAGGCTGTAATGCACAAATCCTGTCTTGGAGAGTGGTGTCTGCAGGTTTTCACATCCCTGTTCCTCATGACCTATGTGAGCTCAGCATTAGCTTCTCTGAGCTTTCAAAATAGGTCTTCAGCTACTGATTAAATAAGGTCTGATGGATTCTGGAGGAGTAGAGATGTTCATTTATGAGAAGAAGGTTTTGATAACTCAGTGCCCTAAAGTAAGGGGCTCCCAGTCCTAGTCCTGGCCCAGACACACCTGTTTCATGTTTTAAGATGAGCGCTCTACTTAACTGAGAGCAGTTGGGGGAGGGGGGTGCATTTGAAACTTGAAGAGTTTTAAGTTTCTTAGGCTATGCAATAGTTAAAAGCAACTTACCACATGCTTAAGAATAAAGATGAACGAAGGATTAAAGTAGGAAACGAAGCTTGGTTGGCACAAAATACAACTAGGATTGGAAACCCCAGCAATAAGGCACTGACCAGCCCTCCACCCCAGAGGTCAAAGGGCATTCTGATATGGATAGAGGGCAAAAGATCCCCTTGTATTGTCAAGTTAACCAGCAATCCTGACCAAACGAGCCAGTAACCTTTTAAAGGTTCTTAATCATGCTGATCAGACCTGAGAACACCTTTCATGCAAGAAA